GAACAGCCCAGCCTATTTGGCTCAGTGGTGGAGAGTCATCCCATGAACCAGGAGGTCACAGTTCATTTCCCAGTCAGGACACATGCCTGGGTTTTGGGCTTAATCCCCAGTAGGTGGTGTGTAGGAGGCAGCCAATCTATGATTCTTTCTCATCATTGATGTTTCTATGTTTCTCTCTCCCTTTCCCTTCCTTTCTCTCTGAAATCAATAAAAACATTTAAAAAAATAAAAAAGAAGATCAAAACTGGGCTTTATTTTTCTTTAGTAATTCAGTTTTATTTCGTAATTTACTTTTACGGTATTTCACAAAAGTATTTATGGAATGCATTGGAAAAAACTACTTCCTCATGGATAGTTTTAGAAATATATATTGCTGCTAACATTAAATATGTAGCACATTTTTTTCAAAAGAAATGTCTTTTTATGGATATAGCAATTTTGTTTTGATAAAGAGGCAATTATGGTGCCTGGTCAGTTACTTGTTATTAAATGACTATACTTGGTTAGAATGAGAGCATTGCTTTATTTTTCCCTCCCTGTGGATTCAAACAACTTTTAAATATCAAATGCTATTTTGTGCTGCAGGGTGTGACAACAAAATTCTGTTTAAGTGACTAAATCATTGCTGGAACATTATTGACGGGGTGGGGAAGGGGACAGCAATCCTACAGAAACGTGTTGATTAGGTTTCTGTGCAACCAGATAGAAATGTCAGGATCCTCCTCCACTTAAGATGCGGGGACCAGCGCACTGAGGCATGAGAGAAGAACTTGATTTACAATTCGAAGGAAAACCAGCAGTAAAATAATTGAGAGCCGGAAAGCAATCTCACTCCTGCCAAATTGCTTTCCTCCATGCATGTTCCATTTAGGGATGCTCTTTGGGTACTCACATTTAGTTTGTGCATATTTCCTCTCCCCTGTGAATGAATATTCCATCCTGGTGGATTAGGGCTGTTTCTCTGCTGTGATCAGCAAAAGAAGATATTCAAGTTACCCAGCCCTGGATTGTGCCTGGAGCTTTATACATGAGAGATGGTCGTTGATATATTTTTAAGGGTGAAGGCCCCAAACTGGCTGTTCATGACAATAGTCTCATTCCCTACATTGCACAAGCATGGGTTCCTTTCAGATAAGCTTTAATTTGAGTTTGCAGGAATCAGACATGGGAAGGCAGTTTGCAGATTGTAAGGAGTCGGTACAATATTTGTTAACAAGAGCCACTGCTGCTACTACAATTATAACTTGTGACAGAAATTTAATGAATATCGACCTTGGTGCTGCTTGTGTTTTTCTTTCCCCATGAAGTATTCATGGACAAGGAAGGCCTTCCCCTCTTGCCTAGGAGTAATTTCCTCTAGGAATTCATCTGATATTCATGTATACACACATAAAATGTGTGTGGTGTTGTCAAACCTGCACTTAATTGGTTCCCTGGGCCACTTAGATATTGAGTCATTTATTTATAATTTGTGAAAGTCAGTGACAAAACTTGGCTGAGAAGTTTGGTTCTTTTGCCATTGTTTTTGCCCATGGAAGAATATTCTTATGCCTTACACAAGAGCAAGAATGTAAAGATAAAAAATACCTTTGTATTGAAATATTGAGGGGCCATCTTTCCTTTAACCTTCCTTGCTCACATTAGAACATATTTTTGCTTACAAGAAATGCAATCCGAACAGAATTGTTTTTGAAGATTGCCTCACGTGAGCCTCTGGCACATCAACGAGCTGAAATCAAAATTCTAATGCTCTGAAGGATAGAGGTATAGAAAGGTAGTCAGAAATAGACAATGCAAATTAGCTTTGAGCACATGCCTGTTTTAAATTTAAAATTGGCTATAAGCCAGGGCCAGTTATCCCCTAAGTAGCTAGAGGAGGATGGAGATGAATATGAAGGGAATTTTTATGCCCTCCCCCCCTAAAAAGAAAAAAGAAAAAAATTCTACAGAACCGCAATCTGTGTGCTCTAAGATTGATAGTCTCTGATTTTCCTGGCCAGACATTTATCCCTAGTGAGCCAGGGCTTCCCAATATTGATCAGCACTGGCACTATTGTGCTTTTCTCCCCTATTTTCAGTTCACATCAAGAGGCTTTTTGTTCTTTAAATTAAAAATAAATGTGCCTTTGTCATTGGCCTCAGTCATACCACAGTTCTGCATTGCTCTGTGACCAAAAATAAGGATTTTAAGAGCCATGAATGACAAGTGATGGGTTAGATGTTTAAATCACATGGGGTTGTACACACACATGAATGCACATACTATACATACTAGTACATACACTGGCCACTCAGTGTGTGTGTGTGTGTGTGTGTGTGTGTGTGTATTTTAGAGGCCAGGTGCATGAATTTGTGTATGGGTGGGGTCTGGCCAGTCTGGCCAGGGCAAGGGGACATGGGTGGTTAGCTGGCCTGCCTGCTGGTCAAATTCTTGGTCAAAGGGACAATTTTCACATTAGCCTTTTATTATATAGGATATACCCTGAGTGGCCAGATTACTATGCGTTCAGCGATCATAACAATCTGGCCACTCGGTATATATACATACTAGTGTATATATGTATACACTCACATCCACATCCGCACCAGAAATCTCCTACCTAAGGTGATAGGGATTGGCCAGTTAAAACAAATTACCCTAGAAAAACATGCCATGTATACATCACCCAGACATCTTAACTTAAAACGCATCTATCTATGTGCCTTTATTTCCCCACCTTTGATGGAAAAGTTGTCTCCGTTCCGTCCCTTACTTCCCCATCAAATGAAGATTTCCAAATGCTTTCCAAAAGCAAGTGCGGCTTTCCCTGAGTAGATGTCTGATGGTTAGAGGGCCTCCACTGTTTTCATAACTACATCCTTGAGACATCACCTGTTGTGTCCAGCGCCAGTTTCTTTAAGTGGTGTGAGTCTACGGGCACCTGTGTAGCCATCTGTGTGCAGAACCAGCCTGGACTCTCAAGATTTTATGTTAAGGCTTTTACAGTTCTCTTACCACATCTGACTTTATCTAATCTTTCCAAAGGATTCAACTTGGTTTTTATGGCATTAATCTTTCATTTGCTTACATATAATTTCACTAGATTTTATAATTCTAGTAACAGCTGAGACTTGCATTAAGAGCTTTGGAATAAAACCCAACTGATGCTTGGAGTGTTCAAAATCAAGAGTTGCTAACAGATATGCGTAGGCATCCCAGAGTTACCTACTAGCTTCAGCTTTCAGCATCTACTGAACATTTGTCACTAAATTTTGCAAAGAGATCGGAAGCGGTTTATCTAAGCCTGGTTTTTTAATCACTAAAAAGCTCGGAATAAAGTTTGTGACACATTCCCAGGCATTTATAGGACACGATGGCTCACATTTTCTTCCTTCCTTAACCTCTGACTTACCTTGTTTTACTTTTTTTCTTTTTCTTTTACGCTCACAGATTTTCTTTTCCTGTCCCATTAGACTAAGGGGGCCCCAATCTTTTGCTAGAATAGCAATGTGATTGTGCTTAATGGGTGTTTGTTTTTGCTGAGGTAGCCCATGTTCTGCAAGATTTATTTTCTAATGCTAGCCCATGAAGACTAGTGTACTTAGTTAAGATTATCTTTGAATATCCCTTGAGAAAGCTCTGTGGCTCAGTCCAACCCATCATATCTCCAGAGGTCAAAAGCCCTTCGTTTTTCCATCAGCTTTGGAATAGATCAAGATTATGTGGAGTGTCAAGTGAAGTAGTTTGGCATGTTCTCAGGGGGGTATCTGGCAAAATGTAGGTATATTTAAAACTAGAGAGGTGTAGGATGATCACACAGAGGCTCGTGGGAACTGACATGTATGCCTGTTGGTCGAACTCCTTAGGAATTTTAAAGGACATTGTGCCTGGTATTATTTAAAAATGTATTCCTCCCTTATGGATTAGCTACGTCTCATCTTACTGAGAAAATTAAGACGGAAACTCATTATGTTTCCTTTCCACATATTCAATAGGACATGCCAAGAAACTTTTACAGCAGTAAAATAAGATGAAAATGGAAAACCTTTGCTTGCATTTCCCAGCCAGTAAGAACATACTCTTAATGCTTTTAAGTCGGTGTTTCAAAAATTAATAACTTCACTATTTCAAGTTTATAAGTTAGTTCTTGGGTGGTCACACTGCTGATGTGAAAATGGACTCATTTTCTTATGTGTTCTTAAATTGGAATAATTTCTCCAAAGCTTAAACTTTTAGAGAAATGTATGCATTTGAATTATCAGGGGCCGTTCCCATGTTAGCTGGAAATCTTTAAAATATGGACATCCTAATTTATTAGTAACTCTATGCCTCTTAATAACAGACAGAGTGTTTACATTTCACCTATGTCCTATTAATAAGCCAATAAACTGTTAGTCTTCAAAATAGACCTACACATAATACCCATATTAGTGTTTTTCTTGGTAGACTATCAATGCAAGACTGTTATTTTGTGGTATTCCCCCCCCCCCCCACTCCCAAATCTATACTTCTTTATATTCAAGATGCCTGAACTGGAGTATTTTTTTTTAGTTCAGACAAATTTGGGAATGTAGCATTTGACACTTTTGAGACCGTGACACCTGAGGATACCTGATTTGGTCTTAATGAGGCAGCACTACATATTTCAGAGTGGGTTTGGATGAGGCTGCCTGGATTTAAATCTTGGCTCTCGCTTTTACTGAACACGGGACCTCTGGCTATTTATGTAATCTCTGCGCCTCAATTTCCTCATCTATAAATGTACATATTAGTAGCAGTATCTCCCTCAGGGGGTTGTTAGGAAATCATATTAAATGAAATCATATATTTAAAGCACTGAATCAGTTCTCATGTGTTATAAATTCTCGATAGATTTTTATTCGTGTCGACCTTGCTGTGTATTGGGGAAAGGGATCCACACCAGTAGGTGCTCAGTAAATATCAAATGACTGGTTAAAAGGAGTTGTGATGCCTTGCTGTTCTGGTCACTCACCTCCACCCATCCTCTCTGTCCATGCAGGTGGCCCCAGCCATTAAGGAGAGGATGATGAAGAAGGGAAGCCTGATGCTGGGCTACCAGCCCCACCGGGGGAAGGTCAACTTCTTCCGCCAGGTGGTGATCAGCCCTCAAGTGAGCCGGGAGGACATGGACTTCCTCCTGGATGAGATAGACCTGCTGGGCAGAGACATGTAGCGGTGGCTTTTAGTCCCCCAAAGGCACAGGTCTGTTCTAGGGAGGGTTACAGATCCAGGATGTCTGGGGACAGACACATAAGCGATTATAGCCCTTTTTATGAGAAATAGGTAACACACCCATCCAGGCCCAGCAAAGCCAAAACGCTAAGCGAATAGTGTTCAGGACTCTAACCTAGGCACTACTGTTGCTGTAAAAGAGGAAGTGAAAAGTGGATTTTCTCAAGGATTGTCAGAGAATCGTAGAGAGTTTATTAAGTACCTTGTGGTGCCTGGAATCGAAGCTTTTGTTGCTCTTTAAAGAATGTGTAAGTCAATTGTTTAAAGCTGAGGTTCTCAAAGTGCAATCTTTAGACTAGCAGCATGAGTATCACCTGAGAACTTATTTAAAATGCAGATCCTTAGCCCCACCTCCTCCTGCTGAATCAGAAACTCTGGCGCCCAGTGGCACCCAGTCTTCTTTCTGGATTATAAGGAGTCTTTCCGGATGATTCTGAGACAAGGTAGGGCCTGAGAACCAGTGGTTTACTGAAACCTCGTAATGACTGAATAACTGCTCTGATGTTTTGCCAGCAAAGGAATATCGAATATTTCAGTGATCTCTGAGCGAGTTTTTGAGAATATAGCTGCGGAATTGGTAGCACAAATGTTTAGGTGCGTCAGAAGTATACCAGAGCTATTTTTGAAAAAGAAGCTATTTAAGATGTTTATTTTATAAAGATGTATCTTTTATGCAGGCTGAATGTTTATTCTCAAAAGTTGAAATTAACCATGATCTATTCTAAATTATTTAGAGAGAAAAATAAAAGACAAGCACTGTGTTGCATGGCCCTTTAAATCAAAGCAATAATCCAAATTCACTTCTGAAAATCATTGTATCATTAGTTTGGTTTAGAAGATGCTAGATATATGTGTCTCTAACTGTGTACCTCTTTTGGCTTGAGGGGCCCATTTCTTAGCTTGCTCTCTGCTTGTAGGGGAAATAACCAGAATGAAGTTTGCAATGATACATTCCCTTTCTCGGGCTTTGATATGTTAGTGTCGATTTCTAAATGGTTCATATTGGGCAAAGTACCTGGTAATTATAAACCTTTCAGTGCAAATACCTCCTCCATTTCCCCTGGGAGTAGGTGTTGGCAGTTCTGTCTCTTATACTGTCCTTAGATTTCTAGAAGAATCTTATTTAACTGAGAAATAAGCAAAATTCAGAGGTGTGATTGCAGAGTTCAAGTAGGTAAAATTATGAATCTAACGAGAGCACCGATTTATCAAGCAAATGATCGAAAAGCTAGACTTACCACATTAATTAATCTTTGGTACTCCATCATTAACTTGTGTCGTTTAAATTTTGAAGAGTGACAATCCAATATGCATGTACTCTGCTTTCATTCCATTTGGGAGGGGGGGGGGTTCTTTATATCTCCACTGGGCAAAAAAATTAGTTGAGTTTCTGGTAATAGGTATTTGTGTGCGCATTGCATTTCTCACTGCCTTTTGTTTTAATATCTTTATAAAATGTTCCTGAAGCTGATGTTCGCAATAATCTGGGTTTCATGAAATAAAAAGCTACATTAGCATACATTTAGTGTTGTTTCCTTTTCCCGTTATTTCCTTTTTATTAAACTGAACCAACACAGTTTAGAAGTGATCTGGGCTCCGTTGGCATTTTAGCTAAACAATTGCATAAGTTGCAAGCTGTTTTCAGTTGTTAGCACCTTGGATTAAATGGCAGCAACAGCTGTAGCGAAGTGTGGACTTGCCTCTTACTTAGACCTTTTTCGTCTCCTGGGAAACTCAGTAGCTTCAGCTGCGTGTTGTGTGAGAGATGCAAGTTCCTTGATCAATTCAAAAGCGGCTGCTGCCTGGTAGTTTGGAATTTCCATTTTGTTCTTTAAATGCCAAGATGTACAGCACAATCAGGTATTGACTGGATGGTCAAGAATGATTTTGTATAAAAAGTTAATTATAATTCATTCACTCATTAAATATATTGATAGTGGGGCTACCTTGTTCCAGACAGTTAGCATGGTGCTGGGATACGTATGTGTATGTGTGCAGTGAATGAAACAGAAAAAAGTCCCTGTTTTTCTGAAGCTTTTCATGTACTCGGGGCAGACAATCAACAAGTAAATAGGTAACAGGTCAGGTGGGAATCAATATTTTGAAAGTGAGAGCGGGGTGTGCTATTGGAAAAAAGGGTTAGGCAGGGTCTCTCTGTAAAGTACCATTTAAATGGAGATTAAGAAAGTAAAGGTGGGCATCTGGGGGTGGAAGTGGGTGGGTTCCAAGTGGAGGGCATGGTGAGCTAAAGGCCCAGGGAGCTGCATGCATGATACTTCCGAAGACCAGCATGGAGGTAAGCATGGCTCATGCAGAGGGAATCATGGGGTGAATGGTAGATGATGAAGTCAAAGAAATATCTGGGAGTCAGTACACTGGGCCTTATAGGTGGGGACTTGTTAGATGGAAATACATTAGAGAATCTGAAGAAGGTATTGAATGATTCAATTTATATTTTATTTATTTTTAATTGAATTTACTGAGGTGGCATTGGTTTACAAAACCATACAAGTTTCAAGTGTACAACTCAATGAAGTATCATCTATACACTCTGTCATGGGCCCATTGCTCCAAAGTCTTTTTCTTTCCCCATACCCTCGCCACCTCTTTGCCCATTTACATCTCTTCCCCACCTCCTTTCCCTCTGGCTATCACCACACTTTGTGTCATAGGTGATGTATATATGCTTCTTTTCATCTATCCACCTTCTTTCATCAAGCCCCCCAACACCCTTCCCCTCTGATAGCTGTCAGTCTGTTCCATGTATCTGTGCCTCTGTTTCCATTTTATTCATCAGATTATTTTGTTCATTAGAATCTACATATAAGTGAGGTCATATGGTATTTGTCTTTCTCTGACTGGCTTGTTTCACTTAACATAATAACCTCTAGGTCCACCCATGCTTTCGCAAAAGGTAAGACTTCCTATTTTCCTTTCTTTTGTTTTTAAATGGCTGAGTAGTATTCCATTGTGTAAAATGAACCACAGCTTTTTTTATCCACTCACATATTGTTGGGCACTTGAGCTGTTTCCAGATCTTAGCTATTGTCAATAATGCTGTAATAAACATGGGAGTGCATATATTCTTTGGAATTAGTGTTTTGGGTTTTTTTCAGACATCTTCCCAGATGTGGGATTGCTGGGTCAAAAGGCAGTTCCTTGTTTAATGTGTTGGGGAAACCCTATACTGTTTCCACTGTGGCTACATCAGTCTGTATTCCAACATATACTTTAGAAGGATCACTGCTAATACTGTTTGAAGAGTAGAGTGTAAGTTGGCAACTGCGTACTCAGGGTGACCAAATAGGAGGCAATTGCAGTTCAAAAAATGATGAAAGTTTATACACCAAGGTTGTAGTGAAGGAAGAGGCTCAGTTTTAGGTATTTAAAGGTAGAGTTGAGGGGGATGGCTATTGGAGTGGAGTGTTCAAGGAGAAATAAAGAATTAATAATTACTTTTGCTTTTGGCCTGGATAGCAGCCTCCTTACTGCATCCAGACAGTGATTTGGGGCATTGTCCAATCTCCTCATCAAACTGCAACCTGATTAAAACACAAAACTGATCCTCTCTCTCACATTCTTGGAAATTTTCAGTTTGCTCTTAAGATTGACAACTTCCAACTTTGCAGAAGACCATCAGAAAGCCTGGTGGTCAAGCAAAGCTAAGTTAATTAGCCCTATTGAGTGCAGGAGAGCTTTGCCTTCAAAGAATCTTCTTGGTGTCTCAAAAGGGAGAGGCTGAAGGAGGATATTGACAGGCTTCCGGTCTGTGCTCCAGGGGCCTATACTGGGTCTTTCAAGGCAAACTGATTGGGACACAGTTCATCACATCCTCGTGTAGAACTGGTGGGCACAGCAAGGTGAGAACCTTGACCCAAGCCCCGATGAATAAGCTGCTGTGTGACTAGCAAGCTGTTTCTGCAGGTGAGGCAGTCTCTTGTCCTGATGGGAGAGACAAGTCAAGCATTTGTCTGGATAGATTGGCTGGCAGGAATTTGCTAAAGCAAACAGGAAAGTTGTTCGTTGATGTACAGTCTTAACTTTCTGAGCAAGTATCTCCTGAAACAAATGGTTAAATCACGTTGACATAAGTGATCTCAGTCCTGATAGGTAAGCTCTACAGAGGCAAGTGACTTCAATTTTCAGGATAAAGATCAAATTCCTGCACGTGGCTGCCAAGGCCCAGCATTCTCCCAACCCCCAGTTTAACTTAAAGTTGTGCTGTCTCCCTCTTGCTGAGAGCCAGAAAAACGAGTCTTCTTTCAGATTCTACCCCACCCCCTTCCTCTTTATCCTGCACACCAAAACTCTTTGGGTGTAATAGTCCCTCTTCCTACAATGCTATTTCCCCTTCACCTAACTAAATATCTGCTTACAGTTTATATTTCAGCCTGATTCACAGTTCCTTGGAGGCGCCTTCTCTATCTGCCCTCCACCTATCCAAAAAGGACTCTGCAGCAATATAAGTTCTCTGTCGTTTTCTTAAAATGCAGGCATCACTCTTTGCAATTATATATCTCTGTGCATTTTTAAAATTAAGATGTATTGTCCATTGGAGACTTAGCACATAATCATCACTCAATAAATAATTGTGAAAATAAGCAAGGTTGGCATACAAACTGTGGTACTGAATGTTTGGGTTAGTAAATGTGCCCCTGAAGAAAAAGAGGAATGTTCCTCCTTAGAAAGGAACTTAGATTTGGCTCATCACAGAATAATTCTCTTCTTTGGACAAGTATGATTTTGATATCTAAATATTTGCTCACAAGAATGTAAAACTAGAGTCATAACCACCTTAAGTTATCACAAGTTGTGGGTTGGTTTGCATTTCACTAGCATTACCTGGAATAGACTCACATGTGAAATATACTGCAATTCTGACTTAATATCTGATAACAGTTTAGACTATGGATCATGTGGATGGGGAGTTTGAAACAATTTTTTTTTCTATGATTTGAAGG